CTAGTGTTACTGAGGCTGCAAAAGGGCTGTATGATTCTTCGATTAAATCTCTTTTGAGTAGTTTAGAAATTTGTTCCTCTATTTCCTTTTTGTCTTCAATTGTGCATCTATATGGTCTCTTACTGCAATATTTATCTTCTATGAGATCTATTCTGGCTTCGTAATCCTTTACTGTCCCTATATCGTATTTGTCTTTTGCAAATATATTTTTGTATTTCTCTATAAGATTTTTTATCATTTTTTCTTCATGATGGTTCAAGTGATTTGTCAAGATTTCAAAGTTTTCTTGATCTACATGTTCATTGAAGTTTATTTTATATCTTGTTTTTCTTCGAAATCATTAGTTTTCTGTTTTATTTCCAGTTTTTCATTTTGTATCAGTTTGAATTTTTTTATACAATCTAAACCAACTATGTTTAAAATTTTCATTATTTATTATGAATACATCTATCTTTTCTTCTATATTTAATATTTTTACTTTTATTTTACTCCATCTGATTTATGTACATCATTAATTGTCTTCAAGTTAATCTTTTGCATCATATTGTCCTTTCTTGGTTTCAAACGTATTAGTTTTGAATTTATCAATGAGACATTTGAGCCTGCGTCATAAATAGCAGATACTTCTAAGATGTCGTTTAGTTTTACCTTGAGACTAATTAATGGTGAAACTATTAGTTTTTTGGATCATTACTCACTTCTACTTGTAATATATGTAGAATTGTTTACGTGTTTTGTTTTTCCTTCACCGTTTTTTCTATCTTTGAACCAACATTCGGTTTCAGGATGAAATCTAATACCTTTGTTTTTATTTTTACAGATTTCACAAGGTATCTTTTAGCTTTTGTCTTTGTTATTGACTCTATATTTTTTTGTTTTTAAATTTTTCTTGGAAGCTAAATGTTCCAATTTACCTAATTCATTATATAGGTCTTCAGTTTTCTTTAGTTTCTCTCTGTCAATTCTATCAGCTATGAAATTTGGCAAGCCAATAGCGATGAAATCTATTAGTGTTCCATCATCAATTGACTTTTTTACTTCTAATAAAAGTTTTTCTTTTTTTAGCGCGTAATCAAGCATGGAGCCGGTTTGATATTTAAATGACATTTCATATGTTATTGAAGACCAACCTTTACTAGAAAATGTATCAAAAGTTTTTTTTTTCCAATCTTCCCATTCTGCATTAATAGTAAATTTCAAGAGTGTATTGCTGTAGCAATCGGTAGCACCTTTGTCCATGAGTGATTTTAAAATTTCGATTTTTTTCTCATTTTGTATTATATTGAATCTTTCAAATTCTTTTTCAAAACTACTTATCCATTGATTCGCGTTTGAATTTTTTCCATTAAATTTTTCAATGATAAATTCTTTTGCTATTTGGCCTATATTTATTCCTGTTGATTGTTCATTAGTTTTTTTAAGTAATTGTTCTCATAACTGAATCAGTGGTTGTTCTGAAGTATTTTCCTTACCATTAGTATTATTTTGCTTTTTCAATTTTTTCTTCTAAGTATTCGTCATTAACTTGTAAATTGTTACCTTCATCCAAATATGCTGCTCTTAAATCATTGGTGAGAGGAATTCAAATATTCCTTAGTTGGCCTCTTTGAGTCAATGACTTTTTTATCTTAGTAAATGCTGCGGCTCATGTGCATCCAAATAGTTATCTGGAACGATCTGGGATACTAAGTACTTTGAAAGTGAAAAGCAGCTTTTCCATTGTGAGTTCCAACGAGAATGTTGTTTTGTAATGTGAGGTTATTTCCGTTTTTCCTTCTTATCTTTAAAAGGGAATAAAACTTGAATTGTTTCTCTGTAAACAACAAAGAAACAACATTCAATGTTATTATTCACAATATTTAATGCAATAATTAATCATCGCATCATCTACCTTACCGACCTAATTGCGCGTTAGATTCAACAAGAGTGAGGATACTTAATCCTTATCCTTACATGTACATACTTAACTATATATATTTGTGATTATTTGCAGATATTACGAGCCTCATATACCTACATGACAGTCATTGCTAATCTTCGGTACGTCATCGGTGAAAATTAATTACTTGGAATAGGTATATGAACACTGTAAGTTTACAATTTGACAGCTTTTAGCACTGCTACTAATAATAAGTAAATAATAATAAATTTATAAATAGTATTTTCGTGTCGTACTTAACCAAAAAATTATGGTCGTTCAAAAAATAAGTTTTTGGAATACTAAACGAACTTGCACTTAAATAAATATTTGATGTTATAGGTATAATACATATAGTTATGTATAAAAAGTAATTAAAAAGTCTGCTGTTCTTTGGTATGCACTATGTGTACAACATGATTATAAAACATATTTCATCAAGTTGCTTATGAAATTGTGTAAACTTTGCCGCTTCGTTGTGATGACAAGCATTATCATTGCTGTCTTACAGCCAACAATTCAGGGCATATGGTATTACTTATCTCATGGAAGTGGCAAATGTTTATTTAAAATGCGGTGATGGTAACAGATTTTCCAAAGCTGACTTGATGTACGATATTTTATAATCATCTTGTATGATTTTAGCAATACATATGTAAACATTAGTTAAAAATTAACAAACACTTACTTAGTATTAGGATGCACCTAAAGAGTAAGATTATTTCCATTTCTGAACCAGCTTTTATAAGTATGCATACAACGATCGTCTTGTATTTGGCCAGTTCTCACAAATCAATAAATAAAATAACAACAAATATGGTAGGAATAAAACGTATTTTCTGTAAGTCATCTTACTCATTCAAAGTACACTCCACGTTATTATTATTTTTAATCTAGAATTGTCTTACATAGTTATCGTTATCTCAAGTTTGTTACCTTTATATAGCATCTTTCGTTATTGTTTATTTTCAAAACCAAAAATCTTGCTAATAATTTCTTTTCATTGCAATTAATGATTATAACACATTTAAATCATATTTTTATCAAATAAACTATATTACACTGCTTTAGGTCTACTAATTTACTCTACATCAGTCAAACTGCAAAATAGCTTGTATTCTCTGAGATGATACATTTAACGCTGTGTCTAAACCTACATTAATTCTCAAAATATGAGAATATAGAGCTCCGAAAATCGACATGCTTATGTTGAGATTCCCCTTCATCTTCAAAAGATTGATGTTTGGGCTACAATCAGCTGACGTCGAACAACGATGAAATGAAAGTAGGTTATTATCAACAAGACCGGGCTACAGCGCATTCGGCTAGGACCTCAATGGAAATCCGGCTATTGAATCATCTGTAATTGTATTAAGTATTATCTATAGTTTTAAGCACACCTTCAAGAGATGCAAAACAGTGAATACACACAAATAAAAAGTAGACCGAGTCAGAGCGCTGGCGCGTGTTGAATAATATATAGCTTACAAAAAATCTCAATTGGTTGATGAAGATTTGTTTGCTTATATTTTATCGTAATTCTCGGTCAAGCTTTTATTTCAAAAACTTTTCTTAGTTGACAAAACTGAAATAAATAGAAAATATGGATCTAAAACTACTTAATACAATATTTTCAGTTAATAAAATTTTAGCAGTTACTCCTTTACTTTAAATCTTAAATACGCTACAATGATTGAGAAAGTATATGCAACCATTATTGGAACATTTTATACGTGCGCAGTTTCAGCTGCTACTATATATCGATTACCGGGATACTCACAAACAATTCATATTAAGTTAACAGTACAACTTCTTTTAGATATTTCTCTTTATTTGTTCAACACTACTTCAGTATTTGGAGCGATAAGAAATAAACAACGGTGGTATAAACTTATCAAAAATTTAAAAAAATTACCAACAATGAAAACGAAAAATTCATCGACACGCTTTTTTGTAACGAACTGCATTGTTATTGCAGTTTTTATGTACATGGTTTCTATTTTTGAAAAAATATGGGTGCTTGTTTCTACCAGAAATACACGATTGAACTAATTCAAGTGTATTCGCAATTTGTAACTGTTTTTTTAATTATTTCCATTTTAATCATGTTTCGAGGAAGATATAAATTCATAAAACAATATCTCTCTCGTAGTTTACAGCATTATTTGCAAAACAAAGTGATTTTAGTTACAAATCTGTTTGATAACACTAAGGCAAATATTATTGATTTAAAAGAAAGTGTCGATTGTTTTAACCGTATATTCGGTTGGCCTTTATTTTTCAATACCTCTTCTTCAACACTCCAAATTCTGATATATCTAGAAAATATTTCCATGAAAATGTTTAAAAAAAATCTTCCGGCGCTTATTTCTCACATGAACATCATCGTCTTGTACTGCGTAATTTTATTACCCTTCTATACAAGGATGTTATAATAAGCTTTATTTTTTAGACGGGAACAACTCGTAATCTGCTTCTATGTGACCCTATAATGAACGTCGAGAAAGCGTAAAAGTAGAGAGTCGGCCGGCGGACTCGATTAGGAAGGATACTTATTTCGCTTACGCTCGGGAAGGAAAAGTTTAATATCGTAGACAAAGGCAAAAAATGTAATCACTTAGTTTCTTACACTGTTACTGGTGTTACTTATCTATATTTGGTTTATTGTATAGAGCTTATCAAAAATTTAATGTTTCAAAGCAACGGAATTTCTTGAATTATACTTACGGAACGTGGGAAACCTTCGACCACTTATTTTTTGTTTTATAAACATAACTTGATATTTTATTAAAAATACGAGTACATATAGAGATTTTTTTCCAAATGATTAAACGCTATCATTATCAGCATAAACATAAATCTACTGCACCTATAAAAAGAATTTATTAGTAGTTCTTTTGTAGAATTTTCTATCCAAGCAAATCGATTTTTATTTTCATTAAAAATTAATTAATTAATGCAGCTGCAGCTCTGATGGTCATTTCTCTACTCAAACTTGCCCTAAACGGAGCCTGTAAAACTTAATATGGGCCCTAAAACAATAAAACATTTTCCAGAGACCGTACTTACTATAATAAGTATCATGGGTTTTTGGCCTAAAAATCACGAATACGCAACATGTTTGCACGCTCTGCAAGTTTCTCTGTTTTACAGTTTTTGTCAAGGGTGGATATTTATAGGAGCTATATTATACTTGGTTATAAACTACAGTGAGTTTAACATAACAGTATTAAACGTATCTATAACATTAACTTTCAGATAATCCGAGAATTGATGTTACCGATAGTGTTCTTGTATTATCTACAGGATTATTCTTTGTCTACGGATTTGTGAACTACTTTGCAAAAGTTAACAAGATCATTGATTTTGTCAAAGATGTGGAAAATGTTGATACATCTGAAGAACCCGGTGGTCTACAAGCGTTTAAAAGAAAGCATAACAACATAGTGAAATTTTTGACTGGATACGTCGTTGTTGCTATCTTGATCTATGGCGTAGCAACTTATTTAGATGGACAAACTTGTGAAAAACGAAACAGAGAAAGTCATAAAAGCAATATTTGCGGGCTTCTGGTGCCGTTGTTGGCTCCTGTTGATATGGACAGTAATGGAAAAAATGTTCTTTTTACATTAGAGGCGTTATCATGTTGCATTATATTACTATCGGCTCTGACATTAACTTATTTTTTTGTCGTATGTTATGATACGCTTGTTGTCAGATTAAAACATTTGAGACACACTTTAGAAGGCATTCCTGAATTAACGAAGAAAATGCGAACAGAAACATTGATACGGTGTATCAAATATCACATTAAAATTATAAGGTAAGTTCTTATACGCTGATTTAGGTAACTCAAGGTTTTTCATTATTATCTTTAGTACTTTCCTATTCGCAGCGTTTCCATTAGGTTTTTTGTATTATTTTTACCCATAAACATTCGAGATTGTACCTAGCATTGTCCATAAATATTGCAAAATTAGTCTCTAAATTTGGCAGCAACTAATTTTGAAACCAGTTTCAATTAACCCAAACTTCGGCCATCGAGGTCTTTCTCGAATTGAGTATTCGCGACTTCCGCTTCCAGGCTTTTCGAACGTCGCTGGGCCGCGTCATTAACGATCAGTCACCCGTCATTGCCGTCCATCCTAGAAAGTTCTCGACGGTCCATAGGCGTCGTACCGGGGTGGCGTATGGGTTTAGTTCGTAACAATACGTTGTAACAGCAGCCGATACTTCTTAAATATCTCTAAAATGTACATTTGAATAATTCATGTTAAAACCTTTTCATGGAGTTTTTGACGCAAATTATTATTTATGATGGGGAGAATATTGTTTTAACGATCGATACGATTCGTATATGGCATGTTTTATTTTTGAAGTTAATCTGTTCCATCAATATACTAAAAACTCGTGTTTTTATTTCAGAATTCGGATTATGGAAATATATTTTTCTGAGAAAACTTATAATACTTATTATACACTAAAAAGAAATAATTACAATATATAATCTTTATTCTAAAAATGACTGTGTATGATGCACTGAACATTTTTACGTGATATTAATAACTTTCTTGTCTGATTGAGGAACTTTCTTTTGGTTTCAGTTTAACAAAACAATGTAACGATTGCTTTGGAGATATAAACAAAGTTCACTTTTCTTTGTCATCTATAATACTGGGCATTTTGAACAATCAAACAATAAAGGTAAATATAAAAAAAAAACTAAGTAAATTTCTGGACACCTGTATATAGTCGCATAAACACTTTCATTCTACAGTGTCTGTGGGGGGACAATTGTTGAGTTCACCTTGTATGATTCATTATAGGAACAGCAATTGAAAGGAGCATTACATCTTCTAGGTTGGATAGCTACACTCTATTTGTTATGTAACATTGGACAAAATTTAATTAATGAGGTATTATATAAAAAGTAACACTTTGAGTATAATAATTTATATTTTTCAGAGTACAGCTATCTCTCAAACCCTGTATTTCCTGAACTGGTATGACTATGATTCAGATCAAAACTTCTGTCTAAGAATGATAATGATGAGAACCCAACAGCCCTTGAGTATGACGACCGGAATCTTTTACTATTTTTCAATGGAAATGTTTTCAGCGGTACGTATCTAATTGTAAATACAGCAAGACGGCTTTTAGGCTATAACCGTAGCAACAACAGTAATCAATCATAACATTCCGTAACACCACCACTAAATTGAATGATATTCAGTTCTTAAATTTGTTCATTTTACAAGATTTTCTAGATTTCTTTTTACCAATTTTGACTCTGACTAGCTTCTTCCAGTTGGTAGTTTCGACAGTTCCGAGGCGTTACTTTCTGATAATGACTTCATCAGTTCTTCATTCATAGCTTCACGTTACTGATTTTTTTCTAGTTCTTTTAAAGCTAAGGTCATTGGATCATTTTTTCTTAGATAAAACTTCTCCATCTCTTGATATTACTTCCTGTTTTGAAAAAATTTCAATTTACAGCTAAATTTAATTTTAATTTTGTGCTAAATTATTTTATTAAATTTCCATATTTTTGGACATACTATATAAAGTCGCCACGAAAGCAAGGATCTTGAACATCAAAATCTAATTGTTGATAAAAGTTATAGTTCTGAAACCAGGAGTATTACTAACTTACAAAATATATACTTAACTATATTTGTGACCATTTGCAGATATTACGAGCCTCGTATACCTATATGACAGTCATCGCTAATCTTCAGTATATCACCGGTGAAAATTAATTACTTGGGATAGGTCTATGAACACTGTAAGCTCACAGTTTGACAGGTCTTAGCGCTGCTACTAATAATAAGCAAATAGTAATAAATTTACAAATAGTAAACGTTCAACAAATTAAAAAATAAAAAACTGCGATTTTATTTTAGTTCCCTATGGTTACGAATAATATAGTAAATAAAAAAAACGAACAAATTTGGACTAAAAAATATTTATTGTACGTAACAAAAATATTATGGTTGTTATGTTGTTTTTGGAGTACTAAACAAACTTGCACTTAAATAAATATTTGATGTTAGGAATATGTGTAATACATATATAAAAACTTTGCTATTCTTTGATATGCACTATGTGTATAAGATGATTATAAAAGATATTACACCAAGTTGCCTTTAAAATTGTGTAAATTTTGCCGCCTCGTTGTGATGACAAACATTATCTACTTTTGCAATGTTTGCTGTCTGACAGGCAACCAATAATTCAGGGCATATTGTATTACTAATCTCATGGAAGCGGCAAATCTTGATTAAAATTGCGGTGATAGATTTTCCAAAGCTGACTTGTTGTACTCTAATTTTAATAATAATGAAAAACTTTCAGAGTTTAAAAAATATATTTGTAGTCACTGCTACACGTGTTTCGGTACACAGTACCGTCTTCAGGCAGAAGAGAAACAGTTTCTCTTCTGCCTGAAGACGGTACTGTGTACCGAAACACGTGTAGCAGTGACTACAAATATATTTTTTAAACTCTGAAAGTTTTTCATTATTATTAAAATTAATATGGAGTTTAAACACGTATCAGCCTCATCAATACAAACATTGTTGTACTCTATTTTGTAATCATCCTATATTATTTTAGCAATATATGTTTAAACAGCAGTTAAAAATTAATAAGCATTTAGTATTTAGTGTTAAGATATACCTAAAGAGTAAGATGATATCCACTTCTGAAGCAGCATTCTATCTTAAACATTATAATTAAACATACAATGATCGGCTTGTATTTTGCCAGTTCCCACAAATAAATAAATAAAATAACAACAAATAAAAATAAACAAAACTTACCTTCTGTAAGTCATCTTACTCATTCAGATTACACGTCACTTTAATAATTTTTATTATTTTTAATCTTGAGTTGTCTTACATTATCTCAAATTATAGTATCTTTCGTTATTGTTTTCTTTTCATTACAATTAATCATTGTAACACATTTAAATCACATTTTTATCAAATAAAATATATTACACTGCTTTAGGTCTACTTATTTACTCTATATCTCACAAACTGCAAAATAGCTTGTCTTCTCTGAAATGATACCTATGTTTAACTCAGCCTCGACAACTACATTCATTCTCAAAATATGAGAATATGGAACATCGAAAATCGACATATTTATGTTGAGCTTCCCCTTCATCTTTGAGAGACTGATGCTTGGGCTACAATCAGTCAACGACGGATAGCAGGGTTTATATTATTTGAAGATAATTATAGCAATAATACACATGCGATTAATCCTCCTCAAGATACCTTAAATCATTAATCTAAATACAGAGAATGTCTGGCCTTAGGGATTTTGTGATCCTACCAAACAAAACTTTTTTTGTTAAATATTTGTCATTTTCTGGTGTAGGATAAAAAATATTGTGTACACCACGGCGGGCATTTTTTTTGACCCGGAAAACCCTTACTTTCCGGCCTTGGTATACAATATACTATTGAATCATCTGTAACTGTATTATTTTATTACCTATGTTTTGAAGCACAAACTTCAAGAGTTGCAAAACAGTGAATACACTCGAATACAAAGCAGACCAACAAGTCAGAGCGCTGGCGCGCTTTTTAATAATATATAACCTACAAAAAATCTCAATTGTTTGATGAAGATTTGTTTGCTTACATTTTTATCGTAATTCTCGGTCTAGGTAAAATATTATCTTTTATTTCAAAAACTTCCCTTAGTTGCCAAAACTGAAATAAATAGAAAATATGGATGTAAAACTACTAAATACAATATTTTCAGTTACTAAAATTTTAGCAGTTACTCCTTTTGCTTTAGAATTTAAATACGCTACAACCTTTGAGAAAGTATATGCAGCCGTTATTGGAATATTTTATACGTGCGCAGTTTCAGCTGCTACTATATATCGATTACCGGGATACTCACAAACAATTCATATTAAGTTAACAGTACAACTTCTTTTAGATATTTCTCTTTATTTGTTTAACACTTCTTCAATGTTTGGAGCGATAAGAAATAAACAACAGTGGTATAAACTTATCAAAAATTTAAAAAAACTACCAACAATGAAAACGAAAAATTCATCGACACGCTTTTTTGTAACGAACTGCATTGTTATTGCAGTTTTTATTTACATGGTTTCTATTTTTGAAAAAATTATGGGTGCTTGTTTCTACCAGCAATACACGATTGAACTAATTCAAGTGTATTCGCAATTTATAACAATTTTTTTAATTATTTCCATTTTAATCATGTTTCGAGGAAGATATAAGTTCATAAAAGAATATCTCTCTCGTATTTTACAGCATTATTTGCAAAACAAAGTGATTTTAGTCACAAATCTGTTTGATAACACTAAGGCAAATATTATTGATTTAAAAGAAAGTGTCGATTGTTTTAACCGTATATTCGGCTGGCCTTTATTTTTCAATACTTCTTTTTCAACACTCCAAATTCTGATATATCTAGAAAACATTTCCATGTGTATGTTGCAGAAAAATATTCCGATGCTTATTTCTCACATAAATATCATCGTCTTGTATTGCGTAATTTTATTATCCTTCTATGCAGGGGTGTCATAGTAAGCTTTATTTTTTAGACGGGAACAATTTGTAATCTGCTTCTATGTGACTCTATAACGAACGAATTTAATAAAATTTTGTCTTTAACGCTACACATAGACAAATACCTCGATGATGGTAGAGGAAACATAGAAGCCTCATTATTCAAGTTTATCAAAGACAATGAACCGAAATTTACTGCTGCACGATTTTTTGTTATTAACAAATTAACAATTTTAAGGATGTTTAATGTCGTCTTGAATTTTTTGATTGTAGAAATACAGTTTGAAGTTATCATGAAGTAAAAGAAATAATAAGGTAATTGATTTGTAAAGAACTGCTATACGTGTTTGTCATATAAATATGTAAGAAAGAATTTATTAATAGTTTTTTTGCAGAATTATCTTCCCACTATAATCGATTTTAATAGCTCCGATGATCATTTTTCAGTCATATCCTTCTGTCCGCCAGTAAAAACACTTTTACTATGCTAGAAATGTTAAATACTATATTTGCCTTATAGGCAAAGGTTCTCAGTAGGGGTACAAATTAACTTAATCTACATAATACAAATAAATCAATAAAATAAATAAAATAAATAAAATAAATAAAATAAATAAAATAAATAAAATAAATAAAATAAATAAAATAAATAAAACAAATACAATAAATGAAATAAATACAATAAATAAAATAAATATTCGAGTTTTATACAATAATAATTGTTCTATTCTTTCTGCTTGCCCACCCCTTGCCTTGTTCCCTTATCTTCCATACTTCTTTCATCCAGTCCAATCCTCTTCCATCCTCGTTTAGCATTTCTTCCCTACTTTCCTCCGATTCTTTCAATCTTTCACATCCTTCCAGCATCTGCTCTATTGTGTCTCACTCTCTCCAACATATCCTAGACCTTCTGTCAGTTTCATGCGTCCAAAAATTATTCTCTTTCTCTTCATTTCCACACCTAAATCTCGCCATCATTCTTTTCACCTTTATACTCTCTCTGTGTGTGTACTTTGGTACTTCATCCTTTACTATTTTTCTATACTCTGCATTATATCTAGACCCCGATATTCTCGATCTGCGTTCTTGCTTATCTATATCCTTATCTCTTACACTCAGTTCTTCTTTCATACTCCTTCCCATTTCTCTCATTCTCTTTATTTCTTCACATGCATATCCCTTTCCTTCATAATACTTGTCTCTTTCGTTCCAAACATGTTTTCCCCCTTCCTTTCTTATTTATTTCCAACATTCTTGCAATATTTTACAATTACCTCTCTCACTAAATTTCTCTTCAAATCCAACCACCCTTTTACCCGCTTCCACTCTCATTTTCTCCCTTTTTGTTTCTTCTCTCACTACACATATACCTTGGCGTATACTTTTCCACTCTCAATGTCCATTTTAAGTATTTTTCTTGTACTCTCTCTATTTCTTCATTTTACCTCCATCCCCAAATCTCAGCTCCGTACATAAATACACTGTTGATCAAACTACCAAACATCATCATTCTTCTCTTATAATCATGTCCAAATTTTCTATCCTCTATTCCCCATACTATTCCTATCACTTTGTTCGCTTTTCGGACCATTTCTTGAATATGCGCTCTATCTGAGTCATTGCTATTTAATGTATAGGACTGGAATTCTTTCACCTGTTCAATCTCCCTCCCTCTCCATGCCCACTCTTCGTCTCCTTTATTACTTTCTTCCCAAACACCACCATTTTTGTTTTTTCCACATTCTCTTCCAATTTCTTTTTTTGTACATACTTCTCGAAATTTTCAATCATTGTTTTCATTTCTTCTCTTTTCTTTGCCACAATCACCACATCATCTGCGTAATCCAAAGACCACACTTTCTCTTTGCCCACTACCACCCTTCCTATCTGTGCTTTTCTGAACATTTCATCTATATCTCCTAGATAAGCTGCAAACAATGCGGGGCTGAGTAGGCATCCCTGTCTCACTCCTCTATTTGTATAAAAACTCTCGCTCTCTGTTTCATTCATTCTCACCTTACTTACTGTTTCTTCATATATTTCTTCCATTTTCGTTACTAGGTACGCATCTATTCCCTTTCTTCTCAAATACTCCCACATTTTCTCTCTGTTCACGCTATCAAACGCTGCTCTGAAATCTATGAACAATGCATACATTCGTCCACCCTCTTTCCTTATTTCTCTTCCCACTAAATCCTGCAGGATGTACACATTGTCCATGGTACCTCTTCCTGTCCTAAACCTTGCCTGTCCGTCTGGTAACATACCCCTTGCTTCCATCTCCTTTCGTAACCTCTCATCGAGTATCATTGCGTATATCTTGTATGCCGTATTGAGCAAGGTGATCCCTCGATAGTTCTTCACATCACTTTTTTGCCTCTTTTTAAATAATGGGATTATTATACCTTCTCTCCACTGCCGAGGAAACCTTTTTCCGTTCCAAACTCCATCTACCACTTCCCATATCCTTTCTTTCACTCTTTCTGTCCCGAACATCCACGCTTCGTTCTGGATTCCATCCCCTCCTGGTGCCTTTCCTCTTTTCAGTCTTTCAATCTGTCTTCCTATTTCATCTTCTGTTATTGCCGAACCTCTCCACATTTATTCCGTCGTTGTGATTCCTTTATTTATGTTGCAGCATTTTTCCTCACAACCTCCCAATAATTCCATAAAGTGTCTTTTCCATTCATGTATTTTGATTTGCCTACTGACTTCAGTCTTCCTCCTCTATTCCTTTTTTATGTATCTCCATACTTCTTGTTCTGTTTTCAGGGACTTTATTGTCTTCTCTTCTTCTTCTCGTTTTTTTCTTTTTCTTTCTTTACATTTCCTCCTATAATTCTTTCTTGCTTTTAAGTACTCTTTCTTTCTTCCCTTGTTATTCTTTCATTTTCTTAATTTTCCCCTTGCTTTTCTCTTCAACTCACTACATTCCCCGTTCCATACATTATTCCTCCCTTTCCATATGTATATCTTCCTTTTTTACGAAGTAGCTTCTACAATTAAGTTGATCAGTTCTGCTATTAAAGCTTCTATATCTTCTTTTACTTCGAATTTCTTTTTTTCTAGTTTACTTCTGTATCTTTGAATTCCCTCTTCATCCCATATTCTTTTTTTTACTTCTTTTCTTTCGTTTCTTTTCCTTGTTTTTCGTACTCTTGCTCTTTTCCTTTGATTTTTATTTCTAGTGGTATGTGGTCTGATTCTACCCTTTCCCCCACTTTGAAACTCTCTATTTCGTCCCACGCCTCTTCGTTGACAATCCCATAGTCTATAATTGATTCTCCCCTAGCCTCTACGTACGTCCATTCTCCTTCTTCATCTCCTTCCTTGTTTCCATTCAAAATTTCCCATCCCATTTCTGCTATATCTCCTACAATATTTTCCCATCTTTGTTATTTGCTTTGTCTTTTGATCCTCTTTTCTCTCCTTTTTCTTTATCTATTATTCTTGTCCCCTTATCGCCCAGTCTTGCGTTAAAATCCCCTCCTGTAAGTATTTTTTCACCTCCTTTTTCTTTTTCCTTTTCTATGTTTATCTTGGTTTCTTCCATTTTCTTGCTATAAACGATTATTATTTCCCATCGATTGTTATCCAACTGTATTTCTTTCTTCATTAGTCCGTTTTTATTATTACTTCCCTTTTCCAATTCTTGCGTTTCTTTTCGAATTCCCGCTACTATTCCCCCGCTTGCTCTCCCCTTTTTCTTTTCCTTTGTCTCCCCTTGACATTTCCACACATATTCTTGTGGCAGTGTCTTTTCAAGTTTCTCCCAGTTTTCTCTTTGTACCCATGTCTCTACTATCCCCACGACATCAAATTTTCCCACGTAATCCCAGAACTCCTTTTCCTTTTTTCGCAACCCTTGGACATTCCAAAACAGTATCTACACCCTTTTTTCTCCTAATTTTGTACTAGCTTCCCTTTTTCCGATTTCCCTATCTGCATCCTTTATTTCTTTTCCTTTTCCTTTGCCTTGTTTGCTTTCATTTTTCCTCCTTTTGTTTCTTTTCTTTCGGCTCTTTACGAAAAATTTTCTACCTTCTTGAATCTGCCCTCTTCTTCATTACATTCAAAATTTCTGCCATCTATAATTAACTGTTTATATGCCATTCTAACCATTTTTCCTTTATTTCTCTCTTTTGTTGCCTCTTCTTTTATTTTGATTTAAATTTTTCTTTCCGTTTTCGTCAGATCATCATTTACGTAAATTGATGACTCTTTTAAGTTCTTCTTGCTTTTCATTACAGTTATTTTTTCTTCTCTATTTTCAAATTCCACTACATAAACTTTCTCTGCAATTTTGTACGCGCTTTTAACTTTACTCTCTACTTTGGCTTTCTCTTCTAGAAATGTTGTCACATTTTCAGTTATCTTCTTCTGCTCTCCTATTCCTATTTCCAATCCCATCATCACTAATTGTTTCTTCTCTTTTCTCTCTCCATTCGATCTAGTTGACTTTCTACTTCACCCACTCTCTTTCCCATCCCATCTCTAATTTCTTGATTTTGCTCCTATAGTTGATCTCTTGCTTGCTTTAATTCTTCTGTTATTGTTTTGAGCTCCTCTTCAAGCTGCGTATTCCATTCCTTCAATAATTGTTTATTACTTTTTCTCATATCATCTCTGATTCGTGTCGCAAGTTCGCTGATCACCTTCTTGACCTTCTCCATCTCTATATCTGCTTGATTTCTCTTCTTTATCGATTGCAGAGGACCCCTAGGTCAGGATTCTGGGCTTCTAAAAGCCTCAGAGTTAACTCAGCACGGAAGCCATGAATCGTCCCTAGACAAGTACTAAGGCTTTTCTTGGTCTTGGTCTCACCTTACAAGGTGAGGTTAATTTCCATCTTTAGGAAGATTATCTGCAGCACGTAGCAGTGCCTCGAAAACCCTCACTTGGAAGATGTTCTAATGTGCATTTGTGAGTTAAGTAAATAATATTTGACGTTATAGGAATATATAAGACATTAAAAAAAAATGAAGTTATTTAGTGTGCACTCAGTTTATTCTTTTAGCAACAGAAACATTAAACTGTAGTTAAAAATTACCAAGTATAACATTTACAGTCAGTTTATACAATATTTTAATTGAGATTAAATTAATTACGCATTTAACGAGGCGTTTAGCGACGTCTGATTGGCGTAGAACCGGTCACGTAGTATTTTAATTACCGAGTTAAAAATTTAATCGCAATCAAATATTTAACTGAGCTTCTATAAACCGGGTCAAAGTATTAAGAATGTAAGTCAAATTACAACTTAACATATAGTAGACATTAAAACTTACTTTAATAACTTTTGCGTTAATATAAAATAGCCTTAGCGACGCGTAGTACCGATGTCTTAACTAAGCTTTCGCCAAATACTGCACTTATTTCTCTCAATTGTCCATATTCTGTTTTCTTTCAAGATTACAAAATCTTGATAATGTCGTTTTATTATAATTAATGATCTAACCCTATAAAAACACTTTTAACAAATAAAATATCAATGAAATTTTAGACCAAAAATAATTATTTTAGTAGTTGAGAAAAATGTTGTCCCTATCATTTTATTACTGATAAATTTCATTAACATTCTATAAGCGAGAAACTTCCAAAGGTGGACACTCAAAGTGCCTTATATTTCTCGGCATCACCATCCCATGCTGTACTTTTGCCGTTTCCTTCATGAAATTAATGACTGTAGCAATCATTTTCTCTGGAACTTTGGGACCAATTCCAGGGACGGCGTCAACAAATACATCTTCATATTCTCTCTGAAACTCAGTCTTAGAAATTTACAAAAATTCACACACTTGAAGCAAACCTCTTCACTTGGTGGCTTAACTTTGTCTGTCGCTTCACTCGACAACGTCTCACTAGACTTTGCTGACCCAGTTTCAGGTGAAACAATTTCTTGTTCCGGAAGCTTTGTTTCAAAATGTTCAGGTGCCACAATTTGCGAAGGAGTCAAACCTGCGTCAGCCAGCATACTTGCTTTGAATTTTTCCAATTCTTCATCGCCTTCACCCATCAGTTCTTGTTGAACCGCCTAGAAAACTACGTTGATAACAATTAAAAAGTGCTCACTTTCTTACTCGTAATCTCTCTAAATCTTCCAAAAAATACTCATTTTCTTCTAGTTTCTCTGGCTGTGTATCGTCACAAACAGATTTGTCTCGAACTGAAGAGGCTCGAGTATCTCTAGAAACGTTGTCCTCTTTGTCACTGGGAAAAAGGTCCTTCTTTACGTCTTGTGCTAATTGTTCCGAAAACTTCTTATCTGTTGGTTCTGCTTCCTCTTTTCCTTCATCATCTTCTTCTTTAGTCGATCGTACAGACTTCCGCTCTTCTGTGTCTTGTTGATCTGGTTTCTCTTGATCCATTTTCGCATCGTCTTTCTTTGTTGGAGCGATTGAAACTTTTACAGACCGCTGCGATTGGTCTTCATCGTCAGCACCAGATTGTTGCTCTCGCTCTTTAAGTTCATCTTCATAGTACTCTCCCCTAAAAATCGGTTCAGTAGTAAAAATTTGTACAAACAGAAGTACTTACTCGCCATCCTGTCTAATTTTCATCAACAATTTCATATAATTGTCTGGGTCCTGACTAGTGACACTTGGACAGGATACCACTGAAGTTTCGTCCACCTTTTTTCCATCACCTTCGCTCTTTAACATCGACTCCGTAGAAACCGCACTCGAACGTTCTTCTTCTTGATCTTGTTCTGGTGCTTTGGCACCAGAATCTTTCGCAATTTTTTCTTGGTAAAGCTCCAAAAACTTATCCAAAAAATAGTAGTTTCTTAATGTTTGAGGTATTGAAGCATCAATTCTTGCTAAAAATTGGTACAAATCGACGAAAATTTCCACGCATATCATGGCGGAACCACCTTCAGGTTCTTCAGTGAGAATTTCACAAATGAGGATCATGGTTTGAGTCAAATTTTCAGTAAGATGAGCTGCACATAATCTGTAATGTTTGATACCTCTATAAAAACATGTTCATGTTGAAGATATTTCAGATTTTTTAAAGAATTGCGCATTTTATGAAAGAAAGAAAGTTGTAGGCGCTGACACAATATTTTAAGAGCGTACTAACCCGATAAACCGCAGCCACGGGACCGCCATATTGTCCTCAAATCCCCCAAGAACCAAAATTTGAATAAGATTTGGGTGCTGCAAGCAAGCACCAATCCACCGATCCCACAAGACCTTGAAAGTCACAGTAGTAGTTCCAGCCATCTGGTACAGCAAAGCACGCAACCATCCTGGAGTCATTCCATGATGGTCCTTCGGGATGGGATATTCCAAACGAGGTTTCACTGGTGGCGGGATGTTTAAGGACAAGCAGCGGAAATAAGTAGTGGCCCATCTATGTATAAATTGCTTTACGTATTCTCAAGGGTATTTGTGAAGAATGGACTTACTTGAGTAAATCATTGGGCTGAGTCCTGATGGCAGCTTTAGCGAACTGACGTAGCAGGTATGGGAAAGTTGGAGGAATGCATATTTGTTGGGAGCAATACATTTGCTCCCCTAATTCGGGCATTTTTACTGGGTTTTGACACTTGTAGCGAACGTTAAGTGAACAGAAAGGGTTGTTGGTAATAAGGTTGCTATGGTAAAGGTGGTCGTATTGATTAGTGTTTTCCGAACGAAAGTTTGTGTACTTATGCATAAATTGTTGATAAATTGTTTGAACGTTGACAGAGGGTCTACGTTAAGGGAAGACACACAATTAAAGTGGATCATAAAATTTATATATAATATTACAACAATCAAACCAACTCTTAAAAAAGTTATGTGGGGAGCAACATAATTTATAATTTAGGTATCCGTGGACAGGATTTAGCATGTTAGTGATTAAACCACTAATAAATCTCAAAAAACTGGTCTAAATTTATTTAGACAGAACTTCCCTCGCTCCTGAAGTACAGCCGAATAATTACAGATTGTTAGAAAAATTATAAAATTAAATTTTGACAATTTTATTATACCCCCATAACTAAAAATAAAAATATGTGTAAACTAATATAGTAGAGGTAAAGAAGCATGCTCTGTGTGTGTTTCAAGTGAATTTTCCCATAACAAAATTTTGGGATGACATCATCAACAATTTAGCAAGGATTTGTTCTTCAACTTGCAGTTTTCTTTTGGTCCTATCACGACCTCGGTCATGAGTTTGAGGCTTGAAGGTACATACCATAACCTCGGAGATGCGGTACCACTGATGTAAATGTTCGCGTACACGGAATCGCACAATTTGGAAAGCTACCAGTGGCGTGTATGACAATTTATATTTCATTTTAAATAATTTTTTCTAGACATTGCTACCAGTTAGGAACATGAACTTTACACTATACAATAAATCTTATTGTGAGCTATTCCCATTTTTTTATAGCATACATTTCGAAATCACCCTGTATGTATTGACGTGCCTCGATTGCTTAGTAAACTAAATTTTAATGCACCAGTTCATTTAATGTGCGATTTATTTAATGGTACAGCAGGAGATCGTGAAGAAAGTGAATTAAAATTATAAAGTACTGTATTATAATTAGAGAGCGGATTTCTGTCGGGCTAGACAAGGCCAAACTCGGTACGGCTCGTACGGGATGGGAATTTATTGCAGTTACCGGCTGCACTTCGTTTATTTGAGATTAGAATAACGCTGCTTCGTTGCACTCTGCTGTTAATTCCAGTTCTCATTTACTTAGCCGTTTGATTAATAAATCGTTATTTGTATTTATGGAATCAAGTGACAATTAAATTCGGTGATTACCTATCACCCGCTACTGAGTCCCGGCGATGCAGCGCGTCCCCACCTATATCGTGACGTAGCCCGACAGAAATCCGCTGTCTAATTATAATATAATAAGTAGTTTAATTAAGTAATTCTTTAAAATACTGCAGACTTGAATATTGGGGGTTTATGGGATTTATTAATCAATTGATTACTTACTTATTCAAATAAATAAATAAATAAATAAATATTTTAGTCACAAATGTATAGCCTTTGCCATTTCTATTGAAACACCATTTGTTGATCGTAAATTTGCCAACGTTCGTATTCCAACAATTTTTTAACTAAAAGCACTCAACCGAAAGCTGGCACCAATTGCTAAACTTTCAGCAAAGCAACAGGTGGTGTTCCAATAGAAATGGCAAAGACATCTGTTTTAGTTTTTAGCTATATCACAGAATTGATAACAAATGTTATCTGAGCTGTGATTACTTCGTAGAACAGTGGGGCGTGGTGAAGTGGAGTTTTCTTGTGCCATGTTAATTGCATTTATTGTTCAAAATTCACCTTCCTAATTAAAAGTAGATTAATTCTCAATTCAGGCGTTACCTAAAAGGATCAAGGTGCCCTAAGAACAGCTTGATATTATTAATACGTTTGTTTTTGAGCATTTTCCTTAAAAAAGTGTTTTGTGTTTCCTTATTTGTTGTGCTTCATGTAGTCGCCGTGACTTGGGCGCTCTCGTCGCTCAAATGTCATAAGGTTTGTTTACCTTTTTAAATTCTGAGGTTATGCTTGTTATACCTGCTATTTATTACGTGTAATTTATACACGTAATGAAAAATAAATGGCTAGGGTTCAATGCGGAAGTCGATCCTGCTGTTTATCTGCTTTGTGCTGGTTATCAGTGTCCTATGCATGGTTGTTGTGTGCTGATTGCGACAATAAATTAAAATTGTTCAAACTCCATTCTGCGTATTGAGATTTATTCACTGAAGGAAAGTAATATTGACCTCGGCATCTCCATCAGTAGGGTTTTGTTTTCCCAAGGAAAACGGCTTCGTTAAATAGTACCTATGCTAAATAGCATTAGAACTGTAACACCAAGAGATAAGGATTTATGTTTAACAATTTTTATTGCATAATTCTAATATTCATACAGAATACTCTGATTACAATATCTGTCTTTTATCTCCAACGCTTTTAAATGTTTTGTCCTGGCCTCCCAGATTTCCGGATTTAAATCCCATCGAACACGTATGGAATACGGCGGGCAGTAGAATAATGAACTTACAAAATCCTCCACAGACCTTAACTCCGCTATAGCAGTAAATTCAAGTTGCTTGGGATGAAGTAGGTACTTCACGATGAAGTAATGGAATCGCTGCCCCGACGTGTCAACGAATCCATTCAAAATTCAAGTAATTCAATTCCTTTTCAAGTAATGACTAATGAGTAATTGTAATGCAATATTTTAAAAAAAATGTGATAAGTAATTGCGAGGAATTCATTTTTTTGAGTAATTCAGTCACTTTTACAGTTACTTTTCACAATTACTTTTAACCCAAATAGTCAAAAATATTGTTTTGTTTTTCTCTACGAATCGTTTATCTGACCTACTGGGATTATTCTACCTATCTGGTTCGTCCCCACAAAGAGAACCTAGTAGGGAGTTAAAATCTAAAACAAGTTTAGCACATTATTTGTTAGGAAAACAGGTAACCATAATATACATAATCTCTTCATCATATTAAGAGTGAGCTAAACATTAAAGCATATTCCAGCATAGGGAAATACATATAGACTTCTGCCCCAGTTTTTGCGAAAGGTATACGTCCGATTGTAATAAACTTCACACCGTTGAAATAAGCGTAAAAAACCCTACCCAGACTGCTTTTCCGTTTTTTAAATTTTGTCGTCAAAAAAAAAACTACAACGCCTTAAATTTGTGATGAATATGAAATTATCTGGTTTTTGCTATTTATGGATCAATTTTAAATTTTCAAAAAGGTACGTTAGTAGAAATTGTATTAGAAAATCTATTGCGCTTTATAGAAATAAAATATCTTAATAAATAATAATTGAGTAAACAGGGGCTGAATATTTAAAATTTGTGGTCAAACAAACTTTAGCCACTTTTCTGGTCCACTCAAATCTATAACAGGTAACTGATAGAGCACGTCCTCTTAAACTCCTCATAATCCGACAATAAAAGAGTGTCCACCCTCTAAGGTTTTTTAAATTTAATCTGTATGTCACAACGCCAAGTAAGAGGCAATTAAAGACAGACTTTTAAGTTTACATTATCTTGTAGCCCCCTTCTAATTATTTAGGAACATCCTTTTTATTAAAGATTAAAACATTTGCGTCCCCAAGTAATTATCGGTGGACTAATATTTACGATACATTTACACGTAGCCAATAAGATATTTTGAAATCTCCCACCAATGCAAATTTTTGTTTAAAAGAGGTTGCAGTTGGCATCGAACTTTTATTTGTAACTAGAGTGAAATGAAATTAGGCGCCAAAGAATCGGTTCTTCAATTTTTGATAAAATATGCAACATGTTGCCCCACAACAATTCCATTTAGCGCCGCAGTGGAAAGGATGTTTTTAAGACAAAACGTCATGCCTTAGCTGACGAAAATTTTAAATCTCAATTATAATTGAATTTAAATTATGGTTATAGTCGTCTCGCCTGAAGTATTTATTTGTTTTATTTTATTTACTGCTGTGAATTCGTAACAAATGCGTTAGTAAAATAAATCACTCACTACTTTTTTCATTCTAACACGTTTTTTCTTGACCTTTTGGACCCATAAAACAAATATCTAAAATTGTATCTTCATCAAAGTACAAAAAGTAATTGTTAAAGTAATGCATTACTTTTTAAAAGTAATGAGTAATTATTGTAATGAATTCCTTAAAAAAAAGTAATTTGTATTTGTAATGAATTGTTACTGAATCAATGTAATGCATTACTTTTTAAAAGTAATTGTTCCAATCACTATTTACAGATAATAATAGATCTTTATTTTCCATTGTACAACAAGATGAGTGGAATATGTTACAGAAACAAATGAAACAAAACTGAAAACTAGTGCAGATACATTTAACTAAAATATTCAATAATGGAATACAGACTCATTCCTATAAAAGATGATGCTTTAACTTATGCTTGAATACCATAATATTTAACATTACCTATAGATTTTGCGGGAATTTGTTAATATTTTTTCTCATATCGTCTGGTTTTCTCGAATTTATTCTCTTTTTTGGTTGTTAATGTTGACATTTAGTCTCTTAAACGCATTTCTAATCCCTCAAATATCACATAAGGAATTAATGTTACAGTGCAATTATAAAAGGAGCCAAAGTTGGAACGTTCTGAGCTGATATGTAATGCCCTGCATATAGCGTAGAATATGGTAGTTCCAAAAATTCAGCAGGTATTAAGAAGGTATTTTTCCAATGGGTTGTTTGATGTATTTATTCTCTCTGTAATTTACAAGTAACCCCCCCCCCCCCCCACAAATAACTAATCAACTTTTTTTGTTCCTCAACAGTGCACAGTGGGACGAAATCAAAAATATGTGGCCAAAATTCTGAAACAGCCCAAATTCATTACAAAACTTGTTGATATTTGTCAAATTGCATTCATTTTATTTTAAAACATGGTTTACTAATAAATTTGTGATCGAAAATTTACTGAAATATGGTATTAAAATAAATAATAATTAAAATACAAAATAAAAATTGTCATATTTAAAAATTGTTAGTGTTTAATAATTATTATTAATATAATAGGAATTAAGAAACAATCAGAACAAAAAAATAACAAGCCTGCTTGAAAGAAATATATGTATACATGATTATTAAATTTCATCATTTTCGAAACCGATTTCACTATTTGTATCAGCGGATGAAATTGTCGTTTCTGTTTCCTCGGTATCACTTTCTTCTAATTCGTTTTTTAAAAGTTGATGAGTTTCTGGTAGCATTTTTTTAATTTTTTTTCTGTGGACCTTCCTTAAAGAATTTATTAAAAGATCAGATGACTGAAGAAGCCTATTTAAAAGATACTGATTGCTGTTTATTCTGGAAGATCTCCACGTATGCTATGGCCGATATTTTCGTATATCTTTGTTTCTAGCCTCTTCTGTTAACTGCCCAATAGGAAGCAAAGTTGATGAAATAATAATTGTCTCATGAATTAGAACTTTATGCCGTCATATGCATGTTAAATCATCCATATTCGTCGACAAACATTTTCGCCGTTTCAATGGCGTATGCATTATATCGTCACCTTAGAACTGGTTTGCCGCATATCCAGATCGCGTCCGAGGGATTTTCGCCTCTACTGTTTGGTGCAGATTTGCCGCATGTCGCACTTGGGCGAAGCGAAACATAGTTTAGATTCAGTGCTGATTTGCCGCATGTCCAAGCAGAAATCGATAGAGTACCGTTATCCGTTTTTACGTACTTCCTTGCTGTTTTGCTTTTCAGCGTTAGGTTTGGGGTTGGGAAAGAAATCGTATTCAACTTCACGCGCAGAACAATAAGAATAATGTGAAATAAATAAAAAAGAGACTTAACAATTTTGATGAATCTGAAATTAAAAAAAAGCAACTGTAATTTGTGCAACTCTTTTTCTGTTGTAGATGTTACAAATATTTTCAAATTATTAGATTCGAAATTTTACAAATTTAAATTTCAAATAGATTTGTTGTTCGATAAACAAATAATTTAATTTTTTACTAAACAGTAATATTTTTCTTTAATTTTTTCTGGGGAATGATTGAACTTATTTTCTCTAAACTTTTAGTGAACAAGATTTATAACGCTGCATACCAGTAAAAGAGTTCACAATTTTTTGTAGTATTCTTATTTGTAGAAATGATATTTCTACATCAATAATCACAAATAATAGATACATTTTTAATTTTTTAGATTAAAATGTTGTAAAAGTAATATGAAAATTAAAATTTCGAAGCAAAATCTGTTTAGGTGGATTTTGCTTCGAAATTTATTACTGGAACGTTTACAAAAATCAGCATTTGACATAAAATGCTTGCAAATTTGAAACAGAATTGGAATGTTTCTTGACAATCATGCCTAATACATTTTTGACTTGTATCTTTTAAAAAGAATTATTTCCGAATTTATAGCTATTTACAATTTACGACTTACTTCAAGAATAAATTCCGTATTAGAATTTTACCTATAATAACTAAATAGAGGTATGTTGTTAACTTATATAAGGTACCTTACATCGAAACGAGTAATTTGTTTTTTAATATGACATTGCCTTTCTTTATCATTCTATTTGTCTAACAATTAATGTTGTGCAATTATACGCGTGTAAATAAAAATAACTTTACAATAACTTATTTAAGGGTAAATTTTTTTACCAATTAATTTAAGTGGATGGTTATATGTAATGGTAATAATAGCCGCATAAAATTCACTCACTGTTTAGGTATACCAGATATCAAAAGCTATTAAATCCAAATGTTATTGTTTATTTTTTTTTATGTCTCGAGCGTAAGCTAAGGAAGTATTGTAATCAAGTTCATCGGGCGACTGGCTACTTTTATGGCTTCTCAACGTTTCATGACTCCTATGATACGAAAACATATAGGTCTCTCGTTTCCGGTTGATAAAACGCTGACCAACATTTGTAATCATCCTCCCCATCATATAACGTCATCTCCAACTTTTACAGCAATAAATGTTATATATTTTTTAAAAATAACACACTT